GTAGAGCGCTTCCACCGCCAACTGAAGTCAGCTCTGCGGACCGATGACGACGCCGCTTCCTGGTCGGACCGACTTCCTCTGGTGCTACTCGGAGTGCGCACGGCCCTCAAGGATGATCTCGGATGCACCGCTGCAGACCTAGTCTATGGTTGCAGTCTCCGACTTCCTGGTGACTTCCTCTCCCCCATGTCGTCGGACACTTCTTCTGATCCGGCTTCCCTAGCCTCTCGTCTCCGTGCCGCCATATCGGAGCTCCGTCCAACTCCTCCTCGTCCTGGCTCCCGCCAAATCTTCATCTCTCAAGACATGCAAACCTGCTCCCACGTCTTCATCCGACGCGATTCGCATCGCTCTCCTTTCCAATATGTCTATGACGGTCCTTATCGTGTCCTATCCCGCGACCAGCACACCGTCACCATCGACCGTCTCGGGCGACGCGACACCGTCACCCTGGCTCGGTGTAAACCGGCCTTCACGGACAACATGCCTGCCGCAACGCCGCCTGCAGCACCGGACGTCCTGGTGAACTACACGCCTACTACAGCGACAGACAGCTCGGTGGACCGCCCGCCTGCTGCATCGCCTGCACCCAGCCGCTCAGGTGCCCCCGGCGGCTCTCGCCCGGCTCGCCGCGTGCCGCCGGACCCGCCGCCTGCTTCGCCACCCCCTCTCCGCCGTTCGTCGCGTACTCGCCGCCAAACTTCTTTTTATGGTGTTTAACTAGGGCGGGGGAGTGATGTAGCCCCTGCATGTACCGCCGGTCACCGCTAGGCGCGTTTACTTCCACCGGTCGCCGCTAGATGCTGTGAACCGCGAGTTACAGTTTTGTTAACAGGTGTCGCTTTCACCAGTCTCTAAATTGCTAAAGCCTTCGATTAAGTTGTGCGTCCCCCTTTTAACGTTCCGTTCGCTTAAACTGCTGTATTGTTTGGACAATTGTATTGGCTATGTGTATATTAAAAACCATATGTATTCGTTTATTACATTCGATGTTCTCGCCAACATGTGTGCAATACTAGATAACTAAGTTCGTATGTAAAACTATATATGTCTCGATTTTGTGGCGAAATACAAGAGATATCTGTATGTTACAGTGTTTCTACTGGCTACACCAGCCAGAAGGTCACCAGAGGCGGTTTGGTGACCCTACCTCAGAAAAGTTTGCAATCACGCCAGAGCTAGAGTTTTTGACCGATCAATTTCTTCTCTTCAGGCTTTAGTTAGGGTACCAGTATGTGCAATTTGTATATCTCGGAATTTTGATATCGGTGACCTAAGGTCAGGTCAGTTTCGCGACCTCCCCATTATAAGTCAATGGGGGAAAAATCAACTCCCTGTTTTTACCACTAAAACGGGTCGGAATGGCCCCATATACCATACATGACTTCATATACGATCAACCTTCACTACCTTGAGGTCTGTTTTGCTGTTGGGCAGCTGTGAGGTCATGTGACGTCATCAAAGGTCACCAAAGGGTTTTGGCCAATAACTCCGTACAGGAACAAGATACAGACGCGTGGATGGTCTCATTATGTTCAGCTCGTCAAGACGCATCGAATGATATACATGATGACCTCGAGGTCACGTGACCTGAGGTCAACCTTTGACCTTGACCTTTCGAGGTCAACATATATATCATTCGATGCGGATTGACGAGAGGATCACGATGATGCCCTTAGTTTGTTCCTATCTTGACTAATTCGAAAGTTATTCGAGAAAAACTCTCTCCATATCTAGCGCCGCCATTTTGACTTTTTCGACCCCTGTGACGTCATCTTTGACCTGACCTGAAAATGACCTTAGTAAAAATTGTAGATCTTGACCGTGCGTATCCGATGCCGTTTACCGTTTGTCGCTGCGATGTGTAGTTTTTGAGATCTGAAGGGGGGGCCGAATCGGCCCCCCCCCGCCAGTTTCTTGTCCCGGCGGAGCCCGCCAGGAATAGGGTTAAAATATTGCGTATCAAGATCCCCAGAATAGGAATCGTTTTGGTCTTTATTTGTCCAAATGCGCCATATGCATCGAGAACTTCCACCTCGCCTAAACTGAGTTGAAAATATCTAGGTAAGCTACGATTTGAGCCGCGGTCTGTTGCGAGTGCAGACGCCCCCCCCCCCCATTGCGGGTAATTACATGCATGTCATGACCCCTCAAGGTTGGCGAGTGGCGCTTCTCACATTTCTTAATCCTCACAACAGCAGCTGCTGTGCACTTATGCCTGGAGGGAGGGGGGATGACACATGGCCCTCATGCATTGCCCGCAAAACACTGTGTCAACCATTGTGTCAATTTCACAGCACTGTGTATTCTCGCCTTCAGGTGATGACGCCATGTCTACCGCAAGGCAAACAAGAGCTGGGGCATCCAAGTCTCTAGTTGGCCAGCCGAGTGAGGCCGTTGCTGACCAGTGGGCCGTTGCCTTCCTGGCTGATGATGATACCAGCGGGCTGCTGGCCTTCACCGGAAGGCCGCGACTGCCGACCAGGGGGCAGGTCCTCAGCCTCTACCTCCACATCAGGCAGGTCAAGGGACAATGGTTTCCAGTCAGCGAGATCGCTGACATCGTCCTGACCGAAGTATGCAAATACTGGACAATGGGGAACATCCCGATCGGGGCCAAGAACAAAACGAAGGAGAAGACATTGGCCCTGATCGACGAGTACCGTAACCTGGGCACTGGTACCGTAACCTGGGCACTGGAGGAGAAGACGTTGGCCCTGATCGACGAGTACCGTAACCTGGGCACTGGTACCGTAACCTGGGCACTGCCCAGGTTACGGTACTCGTCGATCAGGGCCAATGTCTTCTCCTTCGTTTTGTTCTTGGCCCCGATCGGGATGTTCCCCATTGTCCAGTATTTGCATACTTCGGTCAGGACGATGTCAGCGATCTCGCTGACTGGAAACCATTGTCCCTTGACCTGCCTGATGTGGAGGTAGAGGCTGAGGACCTGCCCCCTGGTCGGCAGTCGCGGCCTTCCGGTGAAGGCCAGCAGCCCGCTGGTATCATCATCAGCCAGGAAGGCAACGGCCCACTGGTCAGCAACGGCCTCACTCGGCTGGCCAACTAGAGGCTTGGATGCCCCAGCTCTTGTTTGCCTTGCGGTAGACATGGCGTCATCACCTGAAGGCGAGATGACACAGTGCTGTGAAATTGACACAATGGTTGACACAGTGTTTTGCGGGCAATGCATGAGGGCCATGTCTCATCCCCCCTCCCTCCAGGGATAAGTGCACAGCAGCTGCTGTTGTGAGGATTAAGAAATGTGAGAAGCGCCACTCGCCAACCTTGAGGGGTCATGACATGCATGTAATTACCCGCGATGGGGGGGGGGGGGCGTCTGCACTCGCAGCAGACCGCGGCTCAAATCTTAGATTACCTAGATATTTTCAACTCAGTTCAGGCGAGGTGGAAGTTCTTGATGCATATGGCGCATTTGGACCAATAAAGACCAAAACGATTCCTATTCTGGGGATCTTGATACGCAATATTTTAAGTGATTTATTGTAATCCACATGGTATTTAGTCATGATGTGATATCATCATTTGGCTCTTGGCATTCATGATAATATATTTTGTGATTTGTGCAGCTATTTTTCCTTGAAAACAAGATCACCGGCCCAATCAATTGCGCATTAAACTGTGGGACGTATGTTAACCCGCGAGTTGCTGGGGGGGGGGGGGCGTTAAACGCCCCCACTTTTTTCGCCGGGCCATAGCATAAAAACGGCGCGCCGCAGGCGCGCCAAATTTTGGGTACCTGTAGGGAATTGATTTAAGTTTATTGTGACAAAGTTTCAAAAAATCGGTCGGAAAATTTTTGAGATATCGAGGTTTTAGTGACGTCATGATTTCTGAGTTTTCGACCAAAAACGGCATATGTTCAAAAAATCATATAAAATCACAGAATAGACATCCAGACATGCCGTAAACGCCATTAGACTGCCAATACCATGAACAATCCAATGGCTATCTTCGATTATTGATTATCGTTCCGCATTTTCCAAAATCTCGAACTGAATCTTGGCAATTTCTCGTGACTACTTCACGACCATGATAAATGCATTTTTTAAATTCAACTTTTTGAGCCAAACACGTACACATATGATAAAATGAATGCCACCATCGTGTTCTACGCCCCAAATTACCCATAAAACATGTGTCACAGGCTGCGAATTTCAGTTTTGATTTTCGGGGATATTTGCCTACCCGGTTGACCTGACCTTGACCCTGACCTATGCTTGACTGACCCCTACATGGAGCTGACACTCTTGTAGGCCTTAGGTATATGATGGATTGTGCACCGTTTTGACAGAGTTTATGACGAGAGGCGCCCATTGCGAAGTCCTGAAGTCCATGCTACTGAAAGCCCGATTTCAGGTGTTTGACCTGACCTTGACCCGACCTGTGACCTCAAAATTCAACTTTAAAGTACTCATCTGAAGCGTCTCGTCGCGTTCTTTCGTTTGCCGCCTCGTGCGTTTCGCTGCGCCTATTCGTTCTCGAGTTATCGGCTGGGGGCGTTTAACGCCCCCCCCCCCTCCCAGCAAACGGTGGGTGGCGAAATACCCCAGCAACTGCCGGGTTAAAAGCGAAAGTTCATGAAGTACTAAATTGCTAAATTTGATAAACTTTCAATCGATTTGAGGCAAGGTGAAAGTTCTTTAAAATTTCGATTGCCGCGCCATTTTGGAAAGGTATTGAAAGGACCTATGGGAAAAACCCGGTTCCCGTGGTTTCGGGCAACTTTAATACATTTCGGACCCCCCTAACCGAACATCACTAAATAGCGAATACTGATGCTAACGCACACAGACAGGTCAGACAGCCTCCCAATAGCTGAGCACTCATATGATTCTACTGAACACCATAAATGTTAGACGAGAAGTTAGCAGACCATCAGTCTGATTCCGGCCGTTTGGGATGAAGCGTATGGGAGGTGACGGAGCGAGTGGGCAGTCCTCAGGTGCGGGCCGGGCGCGCCGCCAGTCGGTACTCACTGGGCTGCTCGAGCTCGCAGACAGCCAGCAGGTCGGCCACGGAGAGCTGCGGCCCGGCCACGTACGGCGAGTCGCGCAGCCACACCGCCTCCAGGTGGTCGAGCGCGCGCTCCATGCCGGCCTGGAAGCGGGCCGCGCGCCGCTCGTCCACCGGCTGGCCGCTCATCATCGGGATCAGAAACTGGCGACCGCAGCGGCACAGCGCCGTCAGTACGACACGGCTAGTACAGCACGGTCAGTACGGCACGGCATAGCCGGGCCAGGTCAGAACGGACGGTGTAGCCCTCGTGACACGTTACAAAAGAACAGTTTATAGTCAGACGTCTTGACCTCAATCGGCCAATGGTGACGGTTCGGGCTCACACCAGCATCTGGAGTCGAGCGTTTAGCTGAGTACGCAGCGCAGGGGGCGCGTTCGCCTGCCGACTGCATCTGGCCCGGAGCACGACCATGGGCACTGAGCAGAGACCACGGCCGGCCGCAGCGTCCGGCCGGCACTCTGCGGCTCTCACCTTGGTCTGGAAGTACATGGCGCACTGCAGGCGGGTGTTGTTGTGCTGCCAGGCCATGTACTCGTCGACACGCGCCTGGCGCTGCGGGTCGGCCGGGTACCAGTGGTCGGCCACCGGGTACTGGCGACACAGGTAGCGCAGGATCGCCACGCTGCGGCGGCGCAGTCACACATAGATAGCGCAGGATCGCCACGCGCGCAGTCACACACAGGTAGCGCAGGATCGCCACGCGCGCAGTCACACACAGGTAGCGCAGGATCGCCACGCGCGCAGTCACACACAGGTAGCGCAGGATCGCCACGCTGCGGCGTCGCAGTCACAGACCGGCTCCGGTCACACGCCGCAACAATACAACAATACAATACACACTGCAACAATACATTAACGCTCGCCGGCACGGGGGGGGGGGCAGCTAATTCAATTTAATTCAATGTATTGATAGGTACATCCACCGTACAATTACTCTTCCGCACCCGAGTCACATTGCGTCAATACGAATAAAAACAGATGAAAAGAGCGGGTAAAAGAACGGGTAAAAGGGGACGGTGCTGGCTATATGACACAACACAACACTATCACGAGCGGGTAAAAGAACGGGTAAAAGGGGACGGTGCTGCTGGGCTATATGACACAACACAACACTATCACACAAGCTCGGCTTTTCCCGGCCCCAGCCTCACGCAACAGCAGCTGCCTCAGCCGCCGCTTGAACGCAGGCCGCCTCAGACATTTCAGATCACAGGGCAGGCTAAGGGTTTTCGCGAATAACTCGCGTAAAAAGCGGCCGATCGCGACGAAACTATCAGTTCCTTCGCGTTTAACATTTTTACACCTACCCTGAAAATTTCATGACCCTGACCCAAGTGACCTTTGACCTGTGACCCATTTCTCGAGACCATGTTTGACCGGAATCGCGATTCGGCGTATGCCGGCTGGCATTAGCTCCGCGCGTTTGCAGTCTTTTCGTGGTTTCAAGCGTTCAAACATGTGATTTGATGCTGCTCCCATGCATTACGGTGGATGTCAAGCCTCAAGGTCACCTGAAGGTCGGGTCAGGTCATTGACCTTTGATGACCTCGGTCCACTTTTTCGAGTTTTATATGTTTCTACCTACTCATTCTAGTCTAGATTTTGGAGCTGACTTCGAATTTAGCAGCCATTTGATTATTTACGAAGTATTTTTGGTACCTTCGTAACATGTTACGAAGCTGTCAGAGGCGTTTGACACCTATCACGAATATCCGGCAGGACCCCTACTGGTTGACCTGACTTGACCCGACCCGACCTGAGCTAAATGCATAAAGGCATCATCTGTAATCAAAACCAACATGATATGCGAGATCAGCACCTCGAAACCCCCATAGCAGCCACACTTTACGACGTTCTAACATGTCCCGATTTTCCCGACTTTTGGGTCATTGACCTGCCCTGAAAGGTCAACCGATGACCTAGGACCTTACAATTGGGTGTCATCGGCTTTCTTTCGTCGCGGGCAACACGCTCGTTTTTTCCGCAAAGCTCTAGCTGGATCAGGGGCCAAACGCGAGGGGGTCGTACGAGCGTCAAAGGACGCAAAATGGCCTGTGCCGGCGAGAGTTAAAACACTGCAACAACACAATGCAAGCAGCGCAACACAACTTCACACGACGCAATAATACAGCAATACAATACACAGCAATAATATCTACAACACGACAAACAGCACAATACTTCATACCTAAACCCACACAACAGCAGCAACATCAAACAGTAAACAACGCAAAAACACCACACACCACAACAAAACAACATCACACGGCCAACGTCACAACGAACCATCACACAATAAACACCGCAAGCACAATAAACACCGCAAGCACATCAAACGTTGCAGACAGCCACACTGCCACGTAAACCATCACACGGCAAACGACGCCGGATGTTATCTATGCACATTTTCTCGCTGTCAGTCTAGTCTTGACATAGGGGAGAGTGGGGTAAGATGCCCAGGGTGGGAAAGACGCCCCACCCCCTCTAGCGGCGAAACAAAGAATCGAACCTGGAAATTAATGTTCTTAGCGTAAAGCAGAAGCCTGCCTTGTTAACTGAATAAAAATTTGCGAAGCTCAGTTGGGCAACGGCTGGCTGGTGATTGCTTGTTTTTTTTTCTGCTTTCAAAAAATATTTTGGTGTCAAAACATTGTAAATATCAAAGAAGATAGATAATGTTTGCGTCACTTGCTATAGTCGTGATACATTAACATGCGTGTACTGTGTCCCAAACAGTTTATTTCAGGGTGTAGTTTTATGGCTAACAAATTGTACTGATTTAATGTTACTTCGGTACCTTGGGGTAAGATGCCCCCTGTCCTGATGGGGAAAGACGCCCCCCTAAATCCGTAGGCTGTCCTTCAAGCAGCCCGTCAAATCATTTATTACATACTTGTGAATGAGAGACAAAGGCCGATCTGGGACTATTGAGAGTCCAGTACGGTCGGGTGCTCTCCATGCCGGTCTCTCGGCCCACACAGCGACTTTTTGGGCGGCATTTGACTCTGAGAGCCCTCACGACGGCCTCTGCGGGCCCCATTATTGGCTCCAGGGCCCCTCACGACATCCTTTGAGGGCTCCCACGTTGGCTCCACGGGCCGCGCTGGCATCTGAGGTCCCCACGATGGGCTCGAGGGCCCTCAAGCATCATGAAGACCTATAAGGGCTCTACAGTGGTCTCCGAACGCCACCACGGAGGCTTGTTTGGCCGCGCTGGACTATGATGGCCCTAAGGATGACCCCTGAAGCCCCTTACGACTACTTTTGAGCATAGGCGGCGGAACGATTTGAGACAAGGGGGGGGGGGGGGGCACCAGCTCAAGGAGCCAAACCTAGGGTACCCCGAAATCCTGTTTTCTCATCGGATTTAGGCCACTTATTTTTCGTCACAGCCCTGACACGATGATTTTTTTCTATTTTTTTTTTTTACTAAACGAAAATGGCAGAACACTCCCGTATGTGTGGTTAACTTGAAGCTGATCCTCAAGTACCTATGTGTTTGTCTCTTTCTTATTCTCGTTTGATAAATTCCATTAACCCTCGCCCAACGAGGGGGGTTGATGCAACCCCCCCAAAGTTTTTCGCAAATAACGTAAAAACGGCGGCGCGTAGCGCCGCCAAATTTGGCATACCTTCTGGGGCAACATTTTCGCACCTTTCCTGAAAATTTGAAGTCCCTGTCATTTCAGGTCAGGTCACCAGGTCACAAAAACCGGTACAAGGTCAGGGGAAAATTGGACTAGCTTAGCGGCAACTGAATTCCAAAGTTCACTAAAATTGGTAACAAAGTATACCATTCGATGCGCACTGACGTCCTGAGTTCACTGGTGCTTTTATTTTTGCTCTATCTTTGCTAGGTAAAAAGTTATAAGCGAAAATTTTTTAACATGTTTAAGCAAAATTTTTGCATTCATACCCCCAAAACCCCCTAAATATTGACTTAGAGTCACCAAACTTTCCTAGGGGCGAGATCTCCCATGGACCCACCTACCCTGTAAATTTGTCGTTTCTAAGTGCCATAGGAGCCAATCGCGAGGGGGGTCGTACCAACCCTCCCCCCTCGCCGTCCGTGTTATGGAAAAGGCCCTCGCCTGGCGAGGGTTAATCCTACATGTATCAAATTACCAAGAAGCCATTGCAGTACTAATCAGTGGCGAATCCCAGGGGGGAGGTCACATGGGTCATGACTTTGGGCCTGGGGTCACCACATGCCTGCCAGGAGCACCACAGGCCTGACAGCCGACAGGGGCACCACAGGCCCGCCAGGGGTACCACAGGCCTAGCAGGGGCACCACGGGCCTGTCAGTGGCACCACAGGCCTGTCAGGAGCACCATCGGCCTAGCAAAAGCACTACAGGTCTTCCAGGGGCACCACAGACCTGCCAGGGGCACCAGAGGCCTGCCAGGGGTACTATCGGCTTCGCAGGGGAACCACCAGCCTCGCAAGGGCACCATGGGCCTGTCAAGGGCACCACAAGCCTGTCGTTGGCACTTTAGGATTGTCAGGGGCACCACAAACCTGTTAAGGGCACCTGCGTTCTAACAGGGGCACCACAGGCTCGCCAGGGGCACCACAGACCTGCCAAGGCCCAGGGACACCACAGGCCTAGCAAGGACACCACAGGCCTGTCAGGGGCACCACGGGCCTGTTAGGACCCATGGCACCCACGGCCCACCGTGGGCTTGTCAGGGGGCAGGGTAGGTAGGTACCACAATCTTTCCAGGGGCACCAGCGGCCTAGCAGAGGCACCAGTCATCACACGACTAACCAAAAATAAAGAAAATAGAAAACTGAAAATAGGGCACCACCAAAATTAAGTGGCCGAAATCCGTTGAGGTTTTCATTTTGGGTATAGGTAGGGGCACCACTTCGATTCATGACCCTTCCCTTGGAGTTTTCCCGAATCTGCTCCTGGTACTAATACATCAAATTTAAGGGGGGGGGGGGGCACCTTGCTATTGGTGCCCCCTTGCAGAATTCAAGGGGGGGGGGGCACGGTGCCCCGGTGCCCCCCCGTTCCGCCGCCTATGCGAGGGCCCTTACGATGACATTTGGTGTCTACTGCAGGCTCGAAGGGACTACTGATTCGTTCAGGCGATTTACGTGCCCATTTATGCCACTTATAGTGCAGGGGGTATCTTCCCCAACGCCTGGGGGCGTCTTTCCCACCCTGTGGGGTAAGATGCCCCCTTTCACTTCTTCAGGAAAATGCTGTATAGCAAAAATAGTTATCATATTTCAGGCACGAAATTGTGATATTTTTGGAGAAAAATGATGTCGGCTTCCATTGAAACTCCAAGCCTTTGCTTTCTGATCGTCATTTTCGAATAATATATGACATAGTAAAACCCTGGGCATCTTTCCCCACTCTCCCCTACCAACCGTCTATTATTGTAAATAGCATACCTTCTTCTGTAATGTTCTATGACATAACACGATGTTGGCAGACAGACAACTACAATAGTAAAATATGCATAATTGCGATGCGATTTGACGGTCGTCAAGTTAGATGTAAGTGAATCCTAATCTACGAGTATAGGTAATCTAAGATTCGGAGTCAGGCAAGCCCCGGACCAAACTTGGCCGGTAGATAGAACGTAACGTAGTTAAGAGCCAGTAGT